AATGGCATAAAGTCTTTGGAGGCGAATGAGGTGTGTTCTATTTGGTAACAATAGAGAGTCTCTCTATCATGTATGTTTTAATGTTCTCTTGTTGTAGAAAGGTTTGCAACTCTGTAGAAGTCTCAAATGGACTCGATGGAGGCTAAGGAAAATTATTTGGTTTAGGTGGAGGTGTCTTTCTCGGAGAAGATTGTGGAGGAGTGCATCTTGATGAGTTTGATATGTTGATGATAATACTAAAGGATATAACAATCTTCATTGATAATGTTTGAGCTAATGATGTCATTGTAAAACTCATAAAAATAATAAATGGCTAGAAAATGTATGCTCTTGATGCTAAATTTATACACTTAAGATTATAGTGCTCATATAGTTAACTTAATAGTTGATGAAATGTTAAAGGGAATGAATGTCTCTATTTTTGCAATTCATGATGTTGTTAGGATCATACATGCTTCTTCTTCTAGATTATCCACACAAGTGTCATTATCCACTTGTGAGGCTGAATATGTAGCAACAGCCTATGCAACATGCCAAGGAGTTTGGACAAGTGCTTTATTGGGTGAAATTCTTGGTGTAAGGCAGGAGGTGTTTCAACTACTAGTTGATAACAAGTCTGCTATCAACCTTGCACAAAATCCGGTATCACATGGGAAAAGTAAGCACATAGAGACCAAATATCATTGGTTGAGGGGCAAAGTAAATGAAGAAAAACTGATTCTTATCTACTGCAGTAGTGAAGAACAGATATTTGACATTTTGACAAAACCATTGCAAATTGATAAATTCAGGAAGTTTAGAGAAGATCTTGGAGTTTAAGCTCCAGTTTGATGAGTAAGAGTTTTTGAATTAAGGGAGAGTGTTGTGTGTTTAATTCAAAAGCTGTGAGTATTGATGTAATGTGTGCAAGTGTTTGTTATAATGTGCACGTGAGTATCTTACTATAAATAGTAAGATAGCATATGTGTTGTTGTAAAGAACGTCCCCAAAACGGCCATCATGATACTCAAACATAAAAGCGACTCGATAAATCAAGCGGAAATAAAGATACAAAGCCTCGAGCTGAGACTCTATTTGTTTTAAAAAAAATAAAAACTTGCAACCATAACGAAAAACATCCAAAAGAAAACACCTATAAAACCGGTAAACCTGATCAGGATTTTAAAATATTTAACAACCCTTTGAAGTACCAACGTACTAAAACAACAATATAACTGATAGCCCGATCTTCTCCGTTAACCCATCCAAGACCTTGTCACCGGCTCCATACATTCTCTCAGGCTTCTGTACTTCGTTTATTACCTATACATGAGAATATAGGAGAATAGAATTCTCGTAAGCAATAATGCTTAGTAAGTCACCATTTTATCCACTAAAACATTTAGGGAATCTTAGCTAATCATAAATAGACACCCATGCCAAATACACTACACATATACTATAATCACACATGATAACAACACATAAGCATTCATGTGTCAAACACCAAGAGATTTCCTTATTCGTCATTCTTTCCTCTTATCTTATTCCTTGACTTGATGGGCCCGTAGCTCATGTTCTGGCCCCTCGCTAATGACCTCGGGTAGCTAGCCCTCAGCCATCAGAAGCAACCCCGGGACTCCCCGCGGAAGGAAATCCCGCTACGCTCAGCTCAGGTAGTTACTTAGGGGCACGACTACCTTGTAACATTACTTATCTTTCATTACTTTCATTATCATCATAACTTCCTTCCATTGTTGGTTCCATATGAACCCAGCCCCAAATCAAACATAGAACTTGAAATTCACATATCTCATGTCATACAACTTCAAGAATTCAAGCACATATATCATATTCACCATTAGCTAATTGATGTGAGTTTTCTCGCACTTAAAATAGATCGTAATATAGTGGTGTAAGTACGAGTATCGTCTCCACAGGGACGGACAAAAGGGAATCAAAGATTAACTAAATTCAGCGATTAAAAAGAAATAAATAAAAATGCGTCGTGCGAGATTGGTTGCTGGAAAATAAAAATGCGAATAAAACGATTAAACTAGGGGGTTCTTTCTAATTAATGACGAAGGGAATAGGGATTGATTCCGGGGTAACCAGATTTCTGGCAGATCAGGCCTAATTACATGAAATTGATTTAATTGAGCCTAGCTAATCATTACTAAGTTCTTACCGCTCTTGCGGCGTAGAGTACAATAAATTAGGGGACCAAGCTGATCTCTCATGCGACAGGATCCTAAATTATTGCCAAGACGAGCGAGCTTACGGCCCCTTAATCGCTACTAATGTCTTAGTGAACGATTAAGTGTGTGTGAATGTGTCCTAGAATAAATTAGATCTCTCTTAATTTATTCTACAAGCAATTGTAATTCTAGCGGCCGTTCTAGGTTACAAGAGATATCAGTTAAATTATTCAAACACAAATTAAACAACATTCATGCAATTAAACCGAAAGGAGTCTAGCCATACATCATGATCAACCCCTTCATCAACCCCAAATCTCTAATTAAAACTACTCACAATTCATAATTGAAGAATCAATAGAATTGGAATAAAAAGAATTAATTGTCATTAATTAAAAAGGTGGAACTTACAAAGAATCCCAAAAGATTGATGAACAAGGCTCAAAATCCCTCTAAAATTCGTGCTAGGAACTCTCTCTAAGCTCCCCCTTGAAAACGGGGGTTTACAGGCTGTTTAAATAGAAAAATCGGGTGAAATTTGAACTGGATTGGGATTTTCGGAGGCAGGCACGATGCCTGGCACGATCGTGCCTTCGATCGTGCCTCCGGAGCAAAAACGCGCATTTTGGGCAGGCACAATCGTGCCTCCCTCCAGGCACGATCGTGTCTGGCTGGCAGTAACTCCGCGGTGCTTTCTCTTCACGCACAATCGTGCCTTACTTTGAGGGCAAGATCTTGCCTACTTAAATTCCGAATTTGGAAATGCTTCCTTCATGGAAGTTGTAGACAATGAAGTCCTCTATCCACCCCAAGTTGCCGAATGTGATTTGAATCATCCAATCAAGAGATATGATCAAAACGGTGGAAGGTGTCTTTCTGAAATCGCAGCAGAGATCATCTGACTTCATCGTCTATTTTCACCTTTTTCCTCTCAGATTCTCGCAAAAGTGTCTTCATATCATTTGTAGCCCTTGAAGTTAGCTTTCATATGGAACTTGAATCGTGTACATTAGATGTTTTTACAAAGAGATATGCTTGAACGTTTGACAGAAGGTCATCCTGATCGTCGTTTTCAAGCTTCATTCATCTTCTTTTGACCCTGAAGCCAATCCTAGAGCACTTTTGTTATCAAATCTTCATCGTAGACCTCCCGGTGACCTCCATATCTCTCAAATCAATCTCAAATGTTTCTCAACTCATCCTGATTTCTCCTCAAGCGCCGGTGTCGAACTCTAAATTCCTTATTTTGACTCCAAATGACACAAACTCGAACCAACGCCTGGTAAACATAACTTGAGCTAAAATTGAGACTTGTAACACCTTAAAGCTAGGAAAACCATCAAAATCCAACTCCAACACGCATCAAATGCGTGTTTAAATACAGACTTATCACTAATCTTCCATACTTTATTTAAAACTATCATGTATAGGTGGTGGTGACTTACATGTAGAAGCTGAACTCAGATTACTCAATTAAGTGCGGCACCTTGATAATGTCTCTCGGTAAGCTCCTTCTTAAATCTTTAGTTACATGTAATAATCTAATTAGAACATTCTATACTTTCAGAAATTCCAACATTTACTAATATTGTTCTACTGGAAGTTTCTTTAAACAAAATGATTTTTCTTTCTCAAGGATCTGTAAGGATAAAGTTTTGAAAGAATACTGGTTCTCATCATTTATTAATAAAATCTACTTCGACTTAAACTCTAAATTTTGCTTTTACTAAAGAGTAAAAGGAAATTAATTTTCTGAAATAGGAAAACAATGAACAGAGTGAAATAGACTCCTGCTCCTTAAGGCTGCTACTAATAACTTCAATACGTATGTATGAAATGAACTTTAAACTAAAAGGTAAATAAAATCCATTTTCACCATATGGATAAGAGCTTGCAGGATAGTAATTAGGCAACTGGGCAACTTAAACTCTTGGCTTAAATTTAAAATCAGACATTAAAATATGACCCATATGGTAGAAAATTGAGTAGCTTAGTTTTCTAATTCTTCTTCTTCTTTCTAAACAGATCGTCAAGCCATTCATATAAAAAACAACGTAGCCAATTACTTCTCTTCCGTAAGAAACTCATGGTTTGGGTAAAATTTAAAACAATTTGTACGATCTGACAATAACTCCTTAGCTAGAAGTTTTATGTAAGAAAAACTTGGGTTAAATTTCAAATCACTCACTATTAGACATCCCAACCAATAGTTACGTAGTGAAACTCTCACAAATCAAAATCTTTTTAGGAAGAATCAAAATTAGAGGCATGAACAATATAGACTTACCAGTCTAAAGCTGAAAACAGACGGCAGGGCTGGATGCTTCGTCGGAAGGTTCAAAGAGGGAACAATTTTCGAAGAGAAAAGCTTGTAACTAAGGGAATAGTTTGTGTCGGTGAATCTATCTATACTTAATTAACTCAACTAAGGGGCCGTTTGGAACCAGCTGCACCAGCTATTTGGGCTGAAAAGCCTGAAAAGACTGAATATGTTGAAGTGAAAGTGTTTGGTAATATGTTGACTGGAATAGCTGATTGAATGTAAAATTACCATTAAGGATATTTGCTTATTTGTATTAAATATATGGTGTGCACTTTAGTAGTAAACATATTTTTGCTTGATTAGGTAATTACGAAGTATTAATTAATTGATTACTTTGAAAATTTTCTTACTCTTTTGTCAAATTTTATATTGTTTATACACGTACTTTTCAATTAATACGTATTTTTGAATGAGCAACATTAGTATTATTTTTTATGACTAATATGAGTAAATTAATTTTAAAAAATATACATTCTATGAAGTATATTAACAAGCTCACATGCATTTAAATTAAAATAAAAATGAAACATAAAATAACACATAAGTATTCATTGGAGTTCATTTAAAAAATAAATGATACACAAAATACATAAAAAGTACTAACTTTATTACATCGCAAATTTTTATGTCTGAAAATACATTCAGCAAAGGAAATATATAATAGAACACATGCAATCGTCATACACTATCAACGACGTTGCCTCATATTACGCCCCAAATTTTCGGTAATTTCATCTCGTAATGCAATCATACATGCAGAGCTTAGACCGCGAACCTCATTTGAAGACCTTTCGGTGGATTCTTGTGTTGGTGGAGTAATGCGATCTTGAGGAACAAAATCAAGGTTTGTCTCAAACAAAGAAAAGCGGGATCGTCATTACAATATCGACGGATGAAATTATGTAGTGCCATGGTAGCTAAGATTATTTTGACCTGCACCTTAAAAGGATAAGAAGGCATGAATCTAAGGATACGCCACCTTGCCTTTCATACACCAAATGTTCGCTCAATGCAACTACGCAACGATGAATGCTTTTTGTTGAAGAATTCTTTTCCCGAGTTTGGTCTCTCTCCATTGAAAGAAGATGGATGGTATCTCGTATTACGGTGTGGCGGCAAAAAACCTTCTTGAATCGAGTACCCCGCATCTACCAAATAGTATTTACCTAATTAAATAAAAATTGAATAATTAGCCCTACTAAAAAGTTATATTATGAAACACAATCTTTTTTTTTGGCAAAGTGACACACAAATTTAAAACATACCAAGTGGGGGATAGGGAAATCCCAAACTAGGATTCTCTAGTGTCTATCGTAGTATTCTAGCATCATGAGCTGATCCTTCCCATCCCGGAACGGCAAATGTAAATTGAAGATCAAAGCTACAAGCTGTCATGATGTTTTGGCTAATAAATCCTTTACGATTGTACCACATATTTTCTTCTTCTTCAAATATAACCGCTGGAACATGAGTACCATCGATAGCTCCAATACAATCCTAAATTCAATAGCAATTTTCACTTCAACAGTGCGTTCATTAAGTATAATGACAAGTATAATAGGTCGTTAATTACCTTGAAATGCGGTAAATATCTTTCATCAGGTGCTACACTCCCAAAAGTGGGGTCAACGGGTGCAATCATATCCTTAGAAAACGTCATCAAACAATCCAACACAATTCCAAATATTCGACTTATAGTTTCACCCGAGTGCTGGAATCTTTCTTGGAGTTCTCTATTTGAATGCCCATGAGCCATGATATATATACTTAAGCAAAACCTTTCAACAATGGTCGTATACATTGATCCTTTTAGCCCATATTTAATAGTCATTATTTCTACTAACGCATTCAACATGGATGGTTTCATTCGAAACGCATTGATACATCGTTTTTCATGACCTTTAAAAATCTCATTCAACCATACCATTCCTGTGTGGGATGAGTTAAAGCATGGTTGCCTATTAACACGAGAAATATAAGACCTAACTTGAGTAGTCATAGACTTTATCATACCATTCCATAGCTCATCTTCCACCTCATCTACCAAGAAACATGCTTCAAACAAAGTATTTTCCATAGCAATACGTTGAATATCTATAAGAAAAAATAAATTATCATGTTAACAATAAAATAACTTCAAATTAAAACAATGTACCATAACAAATTCATGTCTTACATTACAAACTTGAAAATTAATGAAATGAAATAAAAGTACTAACTTCATCAATAAATAAATTGTCTAGAATAATAAGGGAAATACAAATAACTAATATCCTATATAACGTGATACTTAGAGATTACTAAGTAATTAGCACATGTGATTCACAAGCATTTGCACACATTTGAGCTTATTCTCGGGTGTAGTTTGGATCATGAACATTTCTCGGTTTCCTTTTTTTTCATAACCATTGATGTTTTGAACCAAAATTCATCTCCCTCAACCACACCCGGTAAGGTCCTAAACACATTCATCACCTCAGACAGACCAAACTCGTGTTCTCTCTCAAAATGCTGTTGTAACAATGCATTCCTTCTTTCATACATTTTCTGAAGCCCTTGTAATTCCGATTCCAATTGAGCAACTTTCTCCTTTCCTTTACCTTTACCACTCATCTTTCCCTTCTTAGCTACAGAACCACTGGTAGCACTTTCTCGAGGTCCAACAACGTGCTTCCTCTTACCACTACTGTCAGTCGCATCTAATGACATCCCAGCTGGCTCACATGAGACCTCATCGAGGAATCCAGTCTCCTTAATATTATTTAAATAAGCAAAGAAATCAGTCTCACTAAGCAGTCCCACTTCGGGAATGTTATGTGTTGCTTGTTCTGGTATGTAAGCATCAACTTCTTCCTCCAAAATATTAGCTGCAGAACATGCATGTTGTCCTTTAGCTGCATTTCCACGGAATGTCAACCACAACAAGTTCCACATGTTCATATCAAGACCAACATTTTTAAATTTTGCAATTTCTATGTTTTCCTACATATAAACAACACAAATAACAATACAATTTTAATCTCCCTCAACCAAATGTAATAACATACATTACAATATCTAAAAAATCATAGATTTTGTATTGACCAATTTACCATTGCCTTTCAAGTCCACCATTCAGCATCCGCCGCAAAAGTATTTGTTTCTGAATTCCACCCTATACCAGTCTCCTTGCGAACTAACTTGTCCCATGTGCTATATTGGCGAGCCAACAAGTTCAACTTGTTTTGGAGTTGCTTGATAGAGTAAGACAAGCTCATTTTGGACATTTCTTTTTCAACTAGTTTCCAGCCCTCACTACTAAATGATTGATTTTTGCGATGCACTTGCAATGAGTCCTTTGAACAAACCTCAAGAAAGCTAATAACCTCACGATCTGACCAATTTGCACATCGAGACTCATGTGATTGATATGAGTCTGTTATGTCAGGTATGTTGCTACTCATCTAATGGACATATTAATGTCAAATGAAATAGTGTTTAGGATATATCATATGAGCTACAATGATTAAAGATAAGTGCTATCATATACCCCACGTGAAATATATAACACTTTAACTAATTAATGTTTGAAAAATTACCTCGCTGAAAGACGGGCAGAAAGAAGAAACAACTCTCAAATGAAGAAGCGGCCAACTGTGAGAACGTTTTGATTTTTCTGCTGCACTGCTACCATTGTCACATAAAACACACTTCCTTTTCAACATTACACTTCATAATCTACAAAAAAGTACAACAAAGAAGGGTACACTTTTTTAAATAAATAAGAAATAAAGATGGGTTGTGGCCTTTGGGTCTGGGAGATTAGAGGCAAGATCTCTACCATTAACTCAATCTCCCATTACCAGAACTAGAAATTTTAAAAAACACTTCTTAAAGAGAAATAACTTTGATGCAAAACTTTCAATTGAAGTCACCCCCTCCCACTTACAAGTCATTATTAACCTATCTGTGAAATTTCATGTTAACACCAAAATGAAAGGAAAGTGAACATAACCATGGTGTTGAAGCTTCAGTGTATAGATTGATAATCATCCCTCTATCCATCCTTCCCTCCTCTCTAAAAAAGAAAACTAAAGATGTGAAGGGATTTTTTTCTCAGAAAAAAATTATAAATTACCCCTGTTGCCTCAAAATCTATCATTTAGTGTGCTATAGAGGCATATTTGATAAGGTTAATGGAGTTATGAAATTGAAGCTAATTGAGTTAATAGAGTTATCAAATTCAAAATGTATCAGGAGTTTTCAAATTCATGCTTCTTTCGTTTTTTGTTACTTGTTATGTATTCTTTTTTTGATAAGTTTATTAATACTTGATCATATATCATGTTGAAAATATATAAAACCTTACTTTTTCTCCCATTCTAACTTCAAATATAGTTACAGCATCTTTAATTTCACTAAAAATTCAGTAATCCACACACCCATGGCCTTTGTTAATTGGGAAAAAAAATCTCCCAGTAGGACTCTTACAATAATAAATTCCAGTAGGTTTAGTTTGAAGAGATAAGACTCTAAGAAACCAAATAAACAAATACGGTTATGAAAATAGATAGTTCTTCTGCTTCTACTTTTCTTCATTTTACGTGTTATGAAATATGTAGCATAGGTTAGATAAAAATAAAAAAAATTGAAAAATAATTCATGAAGAAGAAGTTGCTAATCTTTCTATTATGTCTGCAAACAATTAGAAGAACAATTTGAGGAACATTTCGAGAACAAATTGAAGAACAATATGAAAAAAATTGAAGAAGAGCGCAAAATTTAACTCTACCATGGTGGGCATGCGATTCTGCGAACAATTGAAGAAGAAGAAGAAGAAGAGCGGGGCGACTTACCTTGACTTGACGAATATGGAGAAGCCGAGCTAGCAGAGCAGATGAAACTAGACGCAGCAGATCTGGAATGGTCTTCGACGCAGCGATGTATGAATGGGCATAGTAGAAGGGCAAATGAGTATATCTGTCTTTCAACGGTAAATTAATGAGTTTCAGCGAAAAAAGTAACGATAGGGTTGCTTTTCTGGCTGATAAGAAAAATCAGCCCAAACAGCCCAATTCACATGTGTTTGGCTGTATTTTTGTATTTTAAGGCTTATAAGCCCAATTTGATGACTCCAAACGGCCCCTAAGTCATTCTCCCGCCTAAAGTTTTAGGGTATTTTCTTAAACTCCTACTTATCCCGATTCTTCTCTAAACTCTAAAGCTTCTTTAAGTTTTAGAGTTTATTCAAGTTTTCATTAGGGATTCTTCCGACTAACTAATCTTCTTCTTCAGTCAGTTAGATTTGGATTCTTGAAAAGCTGAGGCTTCTTCGAGTACTTTGGCGCTGGATCATGATCTCAATCCCTTCTTCTAGGTTAAGGTTTTCCTCTGTAAGTTATTCTTATACATTATGTATTTTTTTTTTTACGAATTGAGCATTTCTCTCGACCAGATCTCAACCAGATGGATAAAATACTAGGTGTGTAAATTAACCAATCTTACTCCGACTGCTATGATGGCCGTTGTTATTCCTTCGATTCTTTTCGGATACACTACCCCATATTTCATTCTCTGTTCATTTTTTTCTCCTTCTACAAAGTAGACCCGATTTTCCTCTCCACAATCCTTCCCTCTATTATTAAAGAAGGAGACCCTATTTCATTGCATCAATGCATCATGTTGCCGGATACTTGGTTAATATGCTAATATAATTCAATTTCATCATATAATGTGTTCTTGGATAGTTGAATGACTGATTTTTTTTTTATCTTCCGATTTGTTAATTAACCCTAATTCTTTACTTTTCTATGCTGAATCCTTAAATCCTTCTACCATATAATTATAAATCTCCTGTTTTTTAGCATGTTCAATACATACAACTCAATCTTTCTCTTTTTCTTTGTTCTATCATAGGAAACATTTTTGTGCTTTAACCATTGGTTGTCAAATGATTCTTTTGAAAGTAGAGCAGCAAATAACCCTTTCTGTTAAGAACTTAGAATCTTTATATAATATAAAGTAACAAAGTTGCTACAATTATTGGAGGGAAAATTCCCGCCCAAAAAGTAATAAATATAGAAATAGTTAAGTTGTGAATTATTAAATGTAAAAATATGTATTACCATTTAAAATTAACATGAACGGCCAGTTGAGCATGAAATGTTCAATTACCATGTTTATCAATTTGTTTGTCATAAATGTATTTATACCTATGTTGCTCACTTTGTTAAAACTGCCGTGCAAATAAAAAAAATTTAATTGCAAAATGGAAAGGTCATTTAACATGATAGGAACTAGGAAGTATGTACGTAAGTACGTGACTTGCCATATTTATAAGTTTAGATGATTATTTCGTTAAAAAAATTAACTTAAGATCATAGGAAGTACGTACTTGCCATATTAAAAAAAAGGGAGTACATACATACCATACTGTTATAGAGGCCTTTGGCAACACTGTTTTTTGGCTTATCAGACTTATCAGCCAACTTTTTTACCAAACACGTAACTTCTACTTTCGCGCGCTGAATTATGTAATAAGCAGAAAAAGTAAGGTTGGAGTTACTTTCATGGCTGTACTGGCTGAAGTTACTGTAGATGACTATTTTCGCTATTTTTACATATAATTTTTTCTTTATTTTATTAATAAAATATATTTTAAAGATAATTTTTTCTTAAATCAGCAGAATCAACCAATGCAGCCACTTCAACCAGGACTTCATAAATTTCAGCAGAATCAGCCAAAACAGCCGATTTTCGTGCTACCAAACGGACTCATAGTAATAGAAATAAAAATACAAATAATAGTAGTAGTAGCAACAACAACAACAATCCTTATATAATATAAAGAGTTCGTTTGGCGACACTGTTTTTCAGCCTATCAAACTCATCAGTCAACTTTTTCACCAAACACGTAATTTTTGCTTTCACGCGCTGAATCGTGTAATAAGCAGAAAAAGTAAGGTTTTAGTTACTTTTCTGGTTGTATTGGCTGAAGTTACTGTATACGATCATTTTAGCTATTTTTACATATACGAGTAATTTTTTCTTTATTTTATTAATAAAATATATTTTGAAAATAATTTTTCCTTAAATCAACAGAATCGGCCAATGCAGCTACTTCAGCTAGAACTTCATAAATTCAGCAGAATTAGCCAAATCAGCCGATTTTCTTGGTACCAAACGAGCTCAAATTAATGTAGCAGAGTTACTACAATTATTGGAGGGAAAATTCCCGCCCAAAAAGTAATAAATATAGAAATAGTTAAGTTATGAATACTTAAATGTAAAAATATGTATTACCATTTAAAATTAGAGAAAATTCTCTGAACAGGAGTAAAAACGTTTTGAAATTTCAAAATAGAACTATCGTGTTTTTCATTCCCTGAATAGGAGTAAATTTATGCCAAGTTTGGCATTACTAGATTTTAAACATGGCATTTTTTTTTTCAAACTTGGCAGGTTACTCATATTCAGGGAACGAAAAACATGATAGTCCTATTTTGAAATTTGAAGATGTTTTTATTCCTATTTAGGGCAATTTGTTTGTCATAAGTGAATTGATGCCTATGTTGCTCACTTTGTTAAAGCTGCCGTTCAAATAAAATTTAATTGCAAAATGGAAAGGTTATTTAAGATGGGGGAGTATATTGTCATAGCTTTCGATGACATCTAATGTACTTTAAGTAAAGTTAAATTTAGAGCATCTTGAATGCAAAAACGTTAACGGTGCATATGTGACATGAGAAATAACCAATTAAAAAAAACAATAAATACAATATCTCTCTCCTTATTTAAAGGATTTTACATCATTTTGGTAAGTTTATCTTCACAATGTCAATCAC